TGATTCCATGATTCATGATTTATTCAAAATCAAGATAGGGGTATTAAATTGATTAAAAAATCAAGATAGGGGTATTAATTATTGGCTTCCTTGGCTTCCAAAGTCATACCCCTAAGTCCTGGATCATTTAATTTTAATAAACTTCCAAATTTTAATAATTTAGAAATTTATTAATCTTAATTAAGATAGTGAGACTGGTTTCTACCAATTAACCGCTTTATGTTTCAAACATCAAATAAATTCATTAGGATTAGAGGTTACCCATTTTCCCTCCTTGAATTAAGTCTAAATGTTTATTAAGGCAAAATTTCCAAAATTACACATTTACCCCTAAGGCTCTAACACCTCATAATTTGTCAAATTAAATTCAAATGAATTTGACATTTTTATCCTACCTCATTCATGGGTCAATTAAGACATCAGAAGAGAAAATATGATTTTTCAAAATTTAATTTAATTTATATAATTATTTTCATGAAAAAAATAAGATTTTTCAAAGAAAATTCCTAACTTGACCAAGGTAAATTCTAATCCCTTGAAATGTTCACTAGAGGTGGACCTAGACAAGAGAAGTCTTTTGACCAAATTTCATACTTTTTTGAATTCTCTGTGATTTATTAGAATTATTTTATGTTCTTGGCTATTTATAAAAAAAAATATTTTAGGTGGTGAATATTAAGTTTTGTATTTTTAAAAAATCTCCCTAAGGTCAAAGAACTCAGAGGAACAAATTTTATATTTTTTTGATTTTTCTTTGATTTATTGGAATTATTTTAGTGTAAACTCATTTTTTAGCCTTTTAAAAAAATTATTTTCAAGCTTTGAAATTAAAAATCCTTATTTAGAAAGTCAGGAAAAATATTCAAATTGTTCCTAAGTGATTAGGAAGTAATTTAAAACATTTCCATGAGTTTTATTATTTTTGTGATTTTTTATGGATTTTTTAATTATTTAAATATTTAAAATAGGCAAAAAAATTAAGTTTTTATTTTAAATATCATTTTATTTTTAATAAATACCCCTGATCATAGAGAACTCAAAAAACTAAGCTTCATAATTTTTTGAGTTGTATTTTGATTATTTAAAAATCATTTAAATGCCAAAAGTGATATTTCTTTTTAAAAATCAATTTAAGTTATCAAATGAACTCAAAATATTTTGAAATTTTTATGATGAGTTCTCTGGATCATAAACCACAGTGTGGAACAAAAATCAAGTCATTTAAATGTTTATATTTTCCAAATTTAATTATCTTAGTGATTCAGTATTTGTAAAATTTAAGTGCATTTTAAATGACTTGACCAATGAAATTATTTCTAAATATTTCTCTAGTCATGGTGGACCTTCCAAAATTTTCTTAGAATTTTCTAATCATTATGCTAAGTTCCATGATTATTTTGAAGAAATAATATGGAATAACTTGAAAAATATGGATCTTTGTATAGGAACCTCTTCTGACTTTGGAAAAATCAGATGATGTTTCCCTTGACAGAAGCTACAATATGCCAAAATTTGAAGCCAAGATGATTTGCCAATATGCATGGAGAATCAAATGATTCAAAATAGTGTTTAATTAATTAAAAATAAAATATGCATAATATGGTCTTGAAATTTATTTCACATTGTTCTCCACCGTTCACTGAGCAAGAGGATTTTTTTATTTTATTTTTGTAATTTTTTTACACTAAGATATGAATTGTTTAATTTAGAGGTATTTAAATAAATATGAAAAAAAATCCTTATTTATCTATTCAAACAGCGCGTGCTGACTAAATCCTAGGCAGCTCCGAAGGCACGTGTGGCGCGCTGTCGTTGGACGCCGCCATCCACGAAGCTGCTGACTCAGCCCTCGGTTTATGTTTCGAAGCAATGTCTAGCTCGATCTCCTCTGTCCATTCGATACACGCTTGATCAAACGGCTCCCCATCATCATCCCCCATAGAGTGATACCGTGACCGTCCACACTAAAACCTTAAGATCTCGACCTAGACTCAACAAAATCACTTCGGGTTTGATCTTATGGACTCGTCTAAGTGAGAAGACACATTCATATGGTAATCATGCAATTAAATTAAGCCTAACTAAATGGAGAATCAAAATGTGCTCAGGAGGAAGAGAAGTTTTATACCTTTGCTCTGAGAAGTGAAGCTTTGATCAGAGGTTCTCGGCACATTTGTTATAATCCAAAGATGTCAGGCATTGAGTCTCTGGTCTTGGTTTGATGCCTAGATATGATCTCGATCATGATCAGATTTGGGTGTTGGTCTAGAGCTATTGTAGAGGCTATTTCAGAGGGGGATTTTGTGGGGCTTTGGCTTATTTCTTGGTTGTGACGGTGTGGGCACAAGTAATTGAAGTTTGATAGACTTTGGAAGTGTAATGAGCTCTATCCTAGTTTTTGGCTGAGGTTTGAGCTCAAAATTGAGCTTCCACAGTGGAATTCAGTGAGGAAAGAGGGCTGGATTGCACTGAGGGGATCTCAGAGAAGCTCTGTGAGAAGTTTGGGGGCCTCTCTCTAAGAAATTTTCAGCACACCTCCCATGGCCGTGGAGGTGAGTTTTTATAAAAATGGCCATGGGGTGGCTCTCAAGGCAAATGTTTGGGTGCATTGTGGTGCTTAGGCGGAGGGCAGAGGAGCTCTACAATTTGGTTTGGCTGAGCTGGCCTCTAGGTTTGATTTAG